AGCATTGGAAATGTCACACAAATGCGACAGCTGTAAGTGGTATGAATAAAAATGAATAAAATATATTTGTTAAAAGGTAATTATGGCAAAAAAATAAAAGTACGTCTCCAAAGTACTGTGTTCACATTATAAAAAATAAAAGTCCTAAAACTAAAGCGTTCTAGTTTGGGTAAAAACTGAATTTAAATAATGAGAGGCTGTCAAACCTTAGAGATGGAAATTGGTTGGTTCTTGATGTTTGGAAACGAGTCATATTGAACCAGAATTGTGGCACTTAAATGTTCGAGTCAGGAGCTGAAACTGTCATTTTTATTTTTTTCCCCCCATAGTTTAATTTTCCACCTTTAGAGGGCCATTCATCAAAGGTCACTTCATCACAGCGTTTGGTATTTTTTTTCCATTTTTACAAACTGATTAGATTTTACAAGATGTCGTTCGTACTTGTGTACAATCAAAAATATTACCATACCTACCAGACAGTGTCAGAACCTCTATTCTCAGACTGGAGACATAATTTATTTCACAGCTTCTGCGTCAGATTGCTTCAGGTTGTCTGCTTAACTTTATTTTCAATGTTTTTTTTATGAAAAAAAAAATTAAACAGTTTGTAAAATGTGCTGTTGAGGGGATTTTAATATTCTGCTCATACTTCAGCATTGACTGTATATGTTCTTGTAGAGCAATGCTCTGGTTGCTTTTGATGTACAAGAATAAATATACAGTAGTTGATTAAAGGTTCAAATACTACATAAATTTAATAATTATGTTTTAAATACGACACACCCAGCTTATGTTTGGATAGTTGCATTTAATTTGGTCTACAACAGTTATTTTGCATGACTTTTTTTTTTTTGTCAGATGATAAACTTGCAAAGTAGTATTAATGTTGGAGCGTCTAATTATTTATACATTTAAGTTGATCTTTAAGGCTTTATTCAGATCCGCCTTGGAAAGTGACTCAGATTCTTGATGCTGTAGCAGTTTTCAGTGCTGTGCCTTTTATGCACCTTTAGAGGTAGATCGATTAAAAATATATGCAGGTATTTGACCTCTGTGCAATGACTCCACCCGTTCTTATGCAAGTAAAAGTGTGGAAATTGTACTTTTTGATGTGCGGTATACCCAACTAAAATACACCTAAAACAGTTTGGCTTTTTGTGATAGACACCTGCAGGTATTTCAGTTCACCTCAACGAAAAGTAAAAATCCTGAACAAAACTTTTTTACTTGGATCAAAAAAAAATTAAGTCTGGTCCTCTGGACATTCAAAACAAAACAAACAAAACAAAAAAAATAGAAACGTTTCGTCTTTCATTCAAAATACTTCTTCAGTCTGAACTGAGTAAGACTTTTGGATGAAAAACTAAATGTTTCTACTTTTTGTTTTTTTGTTTGTTATTGTTTTTTTTTTAATCTCCAGAGGACCAGACATATATATATATATATATATATATATATATATATATATATATATA